CCTCCTGCTGCAGCTGGGGCAGGGCTGGAGATATGGGGTAGGAGGGTAGGAGGGGGTCATGGAGCCAGGCTGGGGCTGAGGAAGGGGCAGGGTGCAGCAGGGATGTGGATGGGGATAACAGGGTGCAGCACATAGGGCACAAGTGTTGATGGCTGGACATGGGGGGGAGTGGGTGTGGATGGTGAAGGGGACATGGGGATCAAGCCCTCTGCAGCCCCAGCAGCATGGGGGCAGGGGACGGAGCCCCCAGCAGAGCTCAGATGAGGGTGCAGGTGGATGTGGGCAGGAACTGTGGGTGCAGGTGGGTGTGGGCAGGAGCTGTGGGTGCAGGCAGGAGCTTGGATGCAGGCAGGAGCTGTGGGGGTGGGAAGGAGCTGGCATGAGGAGCCCGCAGCCTGGCTGGGTGGTGCTGGGCCTGCTGAGGACCCTGCCAGCCACAGCAGTGGGGTTCTGGGGGGGTGAGGAGTGCTTCTGCCTGGCACCCAACACCTCAGGGTTGGATCCCCTTCCCAGGTGTTCTCTGTGCCCCAGCTCAGAGCTCATTGTTGTCTGTGGGGTCTCAGAGGTGCTGTTTGTCCCCAGCCCAGCCAGGCTCTGCTACCTGCCCCTTCCCAGGCCTGGGGCAGGCAGGGGGGGCAGGCAGGGCGTGTGGCAGCCTGGCAGGCTCAGACAGGCTCAGGGCCCTTTCCCTGTGGCTCTGCAGATGCTCCAAAGCTGGAGCTGACGGCTTATTGGCACCATCCTCCCCTTTGCCATGGAGCCGGCCCTGCTCCCTCCCAGCTCTGCTGAGCTCCATCCTCGGGATGGCTCTGGCACTGAGCTGCTTCCCGGGGAGGCTGGTGCTGGGAGGGGAGCAGAGACAATGGTAAATTCCCAGAACAAGGCTGGGAGCAGGCAGTGCTCCCAGCTCGGGTTTCCGTGCTGTTTCCCTTCCTGAGCTCTGGCAGCACAGTGGCTCCTCTGCTCCCTGCTGTTGTCTTCACGGTTCCTTCGTCTGCTGCTCTTCCTGGGATGCTCCTGAGATGCTCTAACTTTGTTTAACAATGCAGTGTGCACTCTGCTAGAGGTGTCCCTGCCTGTGGCAGGGAGGCTGGAGCTAAATTATTTTAAGGTCCCTTTCAACCCAAACCATTCTATGATTTCCTCCCCAGCACAGTCTCTGCCTGCCCCTCCCTAATTCCCCTCCATCCTCTCGGCATGCTGATTGCAGGACAGGTACCAACCCTGCCTTCATGTGCTGGAGGAGCTGGTGAGGCAGAGGATGGGAGCTGTGTGGCCACTGAGCCCACCTACAGCCAGGCCAGGCTCCACTGCCCCCCAGACAATGCTCTGATCCTGGCTGGAGCTGGAGCCAGGGCTGGGCTGCTGGAGGGGGTTTTGCTCCCGGGGGTGTCAGCCACGCTCTCCTGATCTGCTGCACCACAGAGGCTCTTAAGCCAATTAAAGCGGGAACTCTCAGCACTGACCCTCCAGGACATGTTGGTCTGAAGCTGCAGCTGAGGCTCTTTCTAATCTCAAGATTTGGGATTAGCTTGGTTGACCAGTTAAATGCAGTTTGCTAAACCCATTAGTGAGGTTGGATCCGGTGCAGGTGGATGTGGCAGTTAAAGAAGTGTGGAATAAATGTTCTTGTGAAGACAAGGCTGTTCCCTGGACAGAGAAGCATCCCTTCCCTCCCTGATTTATCCACCTCCCCCCTGCCTTGGCCCCTACCACATCCATGGCTGCAGATGTGGTAGGGGACACAGCCCCTAGCCCCTAAACAGCACCCCATGATGCAGCTGCTCCCTGAGACAGCTCTGAGCCACAACTCTGAGATCAGTCCCAGGTAAGGCTGCTGCAAGAAGCTGCTGAAAGCAGTTGTCATCAGCACATGCAGATGTCCCAGCATGGATGTTCTCTGGAGACACTGCCAGTTGCACAACCCTGAGTTGGTGCAAGCAGCAGCCATTGCTGTTTGGTGGGTATTGCTGCTCAGGAATTGTTTTCCATGCTGCTTTGTCACCAGGTCTTTCACCAAAGAACCACCAGAGGAGGGGAGCTGTCCATGCTGTGCCTGCCTCCTCCCCAGGGTCCCCTGCCACCTCTGTGGCACCTGGTGTGTCTCTGTGGGTCCCTTCTAGGGAAATTGTGCTCCCCCTTAGACCAGGGAGTCCCTTGTCCTCTTCCATCTGAGGACAACGATAGTGGATTTGGTTGTAACCAGGGCTGATCTTTACTCCACGTGCTTCTTTTTTTCCAACACTTGTAAACTGGGATCAGTACCTGGGAGTTGGGGACAAACAGTGACACTAGTGGCAAACCTGGCCATGACAGCGCTCCGGGCAGCCCATCCGTGGTGACGCTTCGGTAAAGTCGTTGCCTGCCCGAGCCCCCCACCTTCCTGCTGCAGGGGTTTCATTGCATTGCTCTTTGTAATACAAAGGAGGGAGCAATTAGCCCTGGGAGCTGTCGAGGTCGGTTTCTGCCTCGTCATCAGATTTTTGAAAATGAAATGTTGTTTTTTCTCACAGTGACTAGTGCGGTGTTTGCGGCGCGGGGCCGGGGAGCGCTGTCAGCACCGGGGTGGTTCTCTGGGCTGAAACACAGCGGGATGATCCAATGCATAACAAATCCGAACCAGCCTTTCATCCCAGCGACTTGATGGGAGATGAAATCTGGTTTTAATGAGATCGACGGAGCTGAGGGGGAGATGGGAGAGTAATTGTGCCCTCGCTGAAAGCCAGGGGGAGCCGCGGGTCACTTGTTGAGTGGTTGAGGAGCTGGGGATGGCACGTGGCAGCTCCTGGCTGTGCTGTGGGGATGGTGTGATCATGGTGTTGATGAGGCCAATTAGCGAGGCTGATTACAGGGAGAGGGTGAGGTCGCTGGTGCTTGGGTCTTGCTCATGCGTGGGTGATATGGGACCAGCCTTGTGGCGTCCTAGGCTCTGCACTGCTTCTCTGATTGCTTTTCCCCATGATGTGCTCTCTGTCCCTAGGCTGTCCCATGGTTTGCCCTGTACCAATGGGGGGTCCAACACTGGACCCTTCTGAGGGGATTGGAGTAGTGGCTGGTGGAAAGAGGGGCAGGGGGACAGTGGCTGTGATGGTGCCACCCTGGCACCCCTTGCCATCTGCCCCTGGTAGCCTCCACTGTGGTCTCAGTGCTGTGCAGCCCGAGGGTGGGAGCACCTACCTGGCTGTCCCTACAGCAGGAGCAGAGGAGCAGAGCCCACTCCTGCTCAGCCCCCTGAGGGATGGGTTGAAAGTGCCGGGATCAGGGTTCCTCCTGCTCTCCGGGCTGATGGAGTGACCTGGCAGCAGTTCCTGAAGCCGGTAGAGGGGCTGTGGTTCTGCCAGAGGGTTCAGCTCAGCTGCTGGAGGCTTCACAGCCCCGGTCCTCCTGCTTCATCCTTCTTCTCATCCTTCTCCACGGTGCCTGGATCTGGTCCCACACTGCGGGGAGGGGTCCCCGGTGCCGGTGACTCAGCCGGCACGCACGGCGGTGCCGCGCACACCCCGGCTGACCCCGGCCCACGAGCAGATGGCCGAGGCCAGCGTGTGCCTGCACCTGCAGCCCTGCCAAGAGCCGGGGCAGCGCCGGCACCAGTGGCCGGGTGCTCCCTGCGGGCACCGCAGCACGACCAGCTGGTGCCTCCCTGCAGGCTGGGCAGGGGGAGGAGGGTGGGCTCCGCACCAGGAACAAAAATATCTCCTTGGAGAAGCAGCCGGACATGGTGCTGGGTGAGAGCCAGGGCACCCCAAAGCTATGGGAGGCATGAGAGCAGGGCTGTGGGGGATCCCCAGCTGGTGGATGGGGACAGACTGAGTGGGAAGCACAGGGGCAGCATGGCGGGGGTGGGGTGATGGCTGGTGGGCACTGTGATGATGGGTGGGCACTATAGTGGTTGCTGTGATGCCAGGTGAGCCCCGGGGCAGGGGGGTGCTGAGCTGGCTTTGCTCAAGCTGCCCCTTCTTGGCACATCAGGGCCATGGGGTGGGGATAGAGATGTGCTCAGTGTTACCACTGCCCTGCAGCCCCCAGCCCCTCTGACCTGGGCAGGGTTCCATGGTCCTGGACAGAGGGAGAGTGCTGGCTGGAGCAGGCTGGCAGTAGTGATGGGGAAGGCCTGGCATGGGCAGGGGGAGAGGAGCTTGGGAGGCCCCTCTGACCCTGCTGCCCCCCGTCCAGGTACCTGCGGGCGCTGTACCTGGGGCTGCAGAGCCGCTGGCAGGCTGAGCATCGCCGCCGCCACTTCTACTGGCGGATGATGTTTGAGAGCGCGGACATCAGCATGTTGAGGCTGCTGGAGACCTTCCTGAAGAGCGCACCCCAGCTGGTGCTGCAGCTCAGCATCATGGTGCAGCAGAACAAGGTTGAGCCGCTGCAGGGTAAGGGACGGTGCCCCCACCATGGGGCACGGGGGGTGGGAGGGGCTGGGAGGGATCCCAGCCCACCAAAGGTTCTCACTGCCCCTCCCCGCACTGCACCTGCAGGGTTCTCAGCCTCAGCCTCGCTGGTCTCCCTGGCATGGATGATTGCCTCCTACCAGAAGGTGCTGCGGGACTCGCGGGAGGACAAGATGCCCATGTCCTACAAGGGGGCTGTGGTGCAGATCCTGTGGCACCTCTTCACCATCGCCGCCCGTGCCATCGCCTTTGCCCTCTTTGCCTCCGTGTTCCAGCTCTACTTTGGCATCTTCATTGTCACCCACTGGTGCATCATGACCTTCTGGATCATCCAGGGCGAGACGGACTTCTGCATGTCCAAGTGGGAGGAGATCATCTACAACATGGTGGTGGGCATCATCTACATCTTCTGCTGGTTCAACGTCAAGGAGGGTCGGAGCCGCTACCGCATGTGCATCTACTACCTGATCACGCTGTCGGAGAACGCCGCCCTCACCGTCCTCTGGTTCCTCTACTACGACCGCAAGACCACCTCGGACTTTGACGCCTTAATCCGTGTCTGCGTGGTCAGCTCCAGCTTCGCCCTCGGCATCTTCTTCATGTTCATCTACTACTGCCTCTTGCACCCCAACGGCCCCATGTTCGGCCCCCAGAGCGGGGGCTGCATTTTCCGGCAGCCACCAGCCCCGGCACCGGGGTCCCCAGTGGACGCCATCACCAGCCCCCCC